TTTAATGATATACTTCATTAAACAATGATATTTAATGATATACTTTGTTAAATAATGATATTTAATGATATACTTCATTAAATAATATATATTGATAACTCCGATATATATTGATATATATCAAATATCTGTTTTGATATGCATCGATGACTCTGATATATATCGATATATAACTAATGATAAAAATCGATACAAATCACCCCAAAAAATTTCCTGATGTTATTGTAAAAAAACTTAATCACACACATACCAAGATCTCTAAGACTGTAAGTTCTGTATATTAGAAGTACACAAGCTTAAAAAATTATCTAAAAAATAATCAGATCATCTATCAATTCATAACAAATCTGCATGCAATCATTTCAAGACTTCAGTAATCCAAAACAAAAATTCTCACCATTAAACTCTTTCCCAGATCATACAAAATATTAGAATTATAATATAAATACCTGAATCATTCTATAAATAAATAAATATCAGAACCTTCTATAAATAAATAAAATTAATTAAAAAAAAATCTTCTAATATTTCTTTCATCTCCTTCCTATAGATGATCTGATTGTTTTTTAGATGATTTTTTAAGCTCATATACTTCTAACATATGAATCACAGAATAACCTACAATCTTAGAGATCTCAGTATGTGTGTGGTCAAGTTTTTTTGAAATAATAATTTTATCTCTCTGACTTTCTGTTAGTTCTTTTTTATAGCATATCATGTGATAAAATTTAAAGGGTGATTTTTTGAGAGAAAATTGCATGTAGCTTTATAATGCTTGGATATGTCATATGAAGATGAGATTTATTTTGATTATAGATCATCACTATATGTAAATAATTTATTATAAAATAATTATCAAAAAAAAATACAAGATCTAATAATATAAATCAATTTAAAAATATGTGAAATATCTAATATTTCTTTTCACCTCCTGTACATTTGTATTGCAAGTCCTATATACTTCAGGCTGATAAGAGAATTCAGGAATATAATTATATATACCATCTTCTGTAAGCAGATGTCTCAGAGTGTTATTTGTGACTATATACATGCTAAAGCCATAGCCTGTGAATACTTTGGAAGGATTTTAGAAATCTAAATAAATATATTTGTAGTCCTCTTCATCAATCATATCATTCAGATTAGCCAGAACTATACTATAATCTGAAGATTGAAGGTAGAATTAGAGATTTAATCTTATAAGTACTTTTAATTAGGACAATAGTAGATTTTTGACTTATTCATAAATTGTGTATTTCCTGAATTACATCTGCATTATGCTCTTCTATTTGCTAGAATATTGATTATATGAGTAGGAACTCTAAGATTTTATGATTCAATAAATACTGATAAGAATAATTATTATTTTAAAGAGAAAGAAAAAGATCAGGTATTTAAAAATATAAATTTACAAGGTGGTCAAAAATGCAAGCTATATTTCCTGATAACAACAATCTGGCATAAAATGATATAGAAAGCAAACACAAGTTTAGCATCTATTTTTTATGTTAAAAGATATGGTTTAATAATAGTGAGTTTGTGAATGGTGCAAAAGAATTTTTTTTTCTCAACTATGTGTGATTAATATGTTATATATATAGATGGCACTGATCAATTTTGTTTGAACTAATGCTAATTAAATATTATGAATTCTCATTATGCATTACAATAGATTGGCTTATCATTTGCCTATAAATGATCTATTTTTTTTTTAATATAATAATGATGATTAAAAAATCGACTAACATATAAATAGAAGTTAATAAATGGTTATAAAATGCATTAATTGATAATTCAGATATGATTAGCAGTAAATTATTAGTTAGATTTGAGACAAAATGCAGTAGATTAATTAGGAAGTATCACAAAGATTTAAAAAGTCTCCAAATAGTAAATTTGCACATACACTCTCTTTCATATTACAACTATCACATGATATTATAGAAAAAAGGTCAAAGATTCTGAATATTATTTAAAAATAGTAATTTTTTTTATTACTAATAACTTTATTATATATAAATAGTGGATTCTAACGTAAATTTCCAAGAAAATAAATTCAATTCAAATTTTTAGTAAGTATATTTACTATAAGAAATGTGTATTTTCTAAGTTCCAGAAGACTATCTCTTCAAGAAGACATAGTATCATAGTTTTTTTGAATAACTGTAACATATTTATTATTCAATTTGTGATTATAGAAACTTTAGGAAGATCTTCTTTGAAGAATTCATCCAGCATCACTCTTCTTAAAAGCTCCTCATATATTTTAATAGCACTCATTTTTAATCAAGAGTTTGCTGTGCCTATATAAAACATTACATTGAGCAAATCTTTAACATATTCTGTCATTTATTTTACTGGTTCTTTTTGATTAACTTTTAAATTTTCCATTAGAGTCCATCCAAAAAAAAAAATAGAGATACTACCAAGAACAAAATCAATTATCAACTTGTCAATAAAATAATGATCAAGTATCATACCTTTTAAGAGTAGGCAAACTGGATAAATTAACTGAAAGTACATTTTCAATATTATTGATATTCTCTTCAATTTGCTTATTATTCAATCATTTTATATAAATTAATTATATTAGACTATTACCAAGATTGATAAAACTATTATTAATACTATCTTGTCTAATTGCTAATAGTATAGTCCAAGTTTTTGATGTGTGGGTATGAGATGTATAATTTGGAGTTGATTTTTTGAAGATATAGATTTTTATGATCTTGTTCACCTGATCAGATGAAAATTTGTTCAATTTTCCAAATCCTAACAATACTCGAATATATATATATCCAGCATTTTCACTTATTTCAGGCCATGTAAATTCATGCCAATTTGAAATTCCACTTATCATTCCTAATCTAACTTTTTCTATTGAATAATTATAGACTTCAATTAATTTTGAAGATAAATAATGTATATTAAACTGCGTACTTACCTGCACTTCAATCTGACTCAAGGTAAGATACATGAGTTCTGGCAAGATCTTTGATAATATTTTCTATATCTTCTCCTTGTTCTATTTCATAGCCTAATTTGATCCATCTTTTTATAGTGTGAGTAATCTAGAAATAAAAAAAAGAAATTTGTGTAATAATTCCAGAATAGTTTATCAATAAATTGATCTATAAGATAAATTTTAATTAATATCTGAGTACGATGTGAATCTATTGCTATTTTAACTTTACCAGCTTCTAAAAATAACTATCTGCAAGGACTAATATCATACCATTCTTTCTAGTATCTCATAATAATTATCAATTCTGTATTATGATAATATCTTCCATTATCTGAGATAATTGTAATCCATTTTGGCTTTCATTCTAATGTCTTAATCATAATATGTAAAGATGATGCAGTAAACCATGTATTTTGTTATGTATCTTCAGACTAATAATCAAAAGCTTCTATATTAAGTTTTTTATTTGTATTATTTTTTATATATATAAGAACAGAATGAAGATTCTAACCACGTTTTCCAAAGAATTCATTTTTTGTTTCCCATGCCTTTTGTAGTAAAATCTTCATTTTGTAATCCACAATTATTATTACTCTATCAGCATCAAGTTGAGAGAATTATGCATTAAATTATGTATTGAGATACATTTTTCTAGCATGATATGCCATAAAAGCAATCAACTGGTTTTGATAACTTGGCAATTTTTACTATTCTTCCTCTTGCAGATTTATATACAAAGTATTAAAAAATAAAAAGAGAGATTTGTAATTGACACATATATCTGGATGAGGTAAATAATATTCTCCAAAAGTATAAGGTAAGCAATGGCTAATACATGAATTATATTTTTGCAATACCTGTTGAATCAATCTCCAATTTTTTGTAAAGTCTTTTTGTAGATAACATCTTAAAACTTGGCTTTGTTCAATTAATTCTTTCTGTTATAAAAAATTCTAATTAGATAAATAATATGATAATAAGCAAATAATCTTTGAATCATATTTGTGTTTGTATATTTGTCACATAATTTTCAATTATATTTCCAAGGTTAGTAAAAACTTCATATCCACATTCATTACAAGTTGAACATAATTCTCCAAGATCATCTTTATATTAATATCATTTTTCTTGCAGGTGTATCATAAATGAAGTTCTATTTATACCATTTGAAAATAATTCTAAATATTTTTTTCACAACAATATTTTGGTATCTTGAAGATATAAAACTGGTAAGCCAGTTTCATTGTTCATTTTATAACTGCTCATATTCATATTTTTTTATCTGAAAAAAATAATTCAAATTGCATTAAAAATTCTGCTGATAACTTGATCCAATGAATTATAGATTTGACAAGTGGAAAAGCACCAGATCTAACAATTCTTGCATATTTTTGTGCTTCAAATATGGTATGTATTCTGATTTTTATATTTGATTTTTATAAATAAATATTAATTTATTTACTAAAAACAAATTATATAGAGTTTCTTATCACTAATTAAGATCCTAACTCAGAGTAAGTAAAATTATTTGCAATAATTAATAATATTTGATCTTTCCATTTGATATTTTGTTGTTATTTATTAATGCATACTTGAAACAGTTCCAAAAAATTGAAGTAACATTTTGAATATATTTAGGATTAGATTGAAGAAATCCTATTTGATGCAATGAATATAAGATTTCTTTTTCTTTTTGAGAATTGAAGATTTTTGTCCAAAGCTGAAACTAACTATTACTTTAGTTTCTTATTTTAAATAGAAATTATAATCAAATAAAACTTATTGAAGATTTATTATGTGACTATGGTGTTATATTTTCATAATCTATCATATGTAACATTGTATTCCAAGCTCTTAATTCCTGAATGCTAAATTGATAATCTTTTGGATATAATTCTTCAAGACTTGACGTAAACTCAATAATTAAATTGATTTTTTGTATCCAAGTTTCAAAAAATTGATACTATTGAATATTAGCAAGTGTTTGGTATTTTAAATTATAATCAAAAAGGGATTTTAATAAGGAAAAAATTGTTCAATTTGTTGGTAAGCATGTAGGAATCATATTTTTGTAAATAGATTCTTTGGTTTGTGAATTTTGAAATCCAAACAGATTGATTCCTTCAAAATTTTTTATAAAATTTGAAGATTTCCAAACTGCATTAGGAGAATTATCCACAAACTGACATTGTACTTGAGAATTTTGATGGATTTTGAGTATACAATGATTACCCTCAATAGTTGATACAAATAATGCTGATTTATCATGATATTTGTAATTGAGTGAAGATTTGTATCCTGAGCTACCATTATTCTATTCAGTATTTGATGATGTTCCAATTCCATAAACAAAAATCTGATGTTTTCCAATAAAAAATGAGAATGGAAAAAAAGGAACATTTTGAGATAATTGAAAAATAATATTCTTGTCATTCCATCCAATTACAAGGGAACCAGAATAGCGAGTTTTTTTTTGAAAGATAAGATTATATACACATGAAACTGCGCTTGAAGAATTATTTTTTACTTTACTTGAAATAGTACCAGAGGTACAAATAAATCCAGGAGCAAAAGAATTATCAGAATTTTCCACTACAATAGTAAGATAAAAAACTTTTTCATTAAGAATAGCCTTGGTAGTTTGGCCTACACGAATGGGAAAATAAGAAAGATTATCTTTTGTGCTGTCACTTGAATGTTGCCACCAAAAACGTGAATAAGGACCATAATGCAAGTCAAACAGTAGTGAACCTACTGTTATTAAAGTAACATTAACTGTGCGAGTTTTTGGCATTAGACAATAAAGAAAAGTAACTCGCGAGTTTGAGATGCAATAGTAGTATTACGCGTTCTAAATTACTTATCCCCACATCTTATTAATAATCAAGCACATGATTTTGCTGATCACATCTGGATCACCAATTAAATGTATCACATGTACTTGATCAAAGCTGAAATACATGTACCACCGTCGTTGTAAACAGTGTTTGTGGATGTTACTTTATACAAAGGCGGAAGTTCTATGAATTTGATTGGATAGCTCTTTTGTCTTTTGTTAAAAAAAAAAAAGGTAGAAAACAACTCGCAGACATTAATGATATCAATACAAGATTTTGTTCCGTATTGTCTATATTGGGCAATAAGCCCGGTTAGTACTCCAATAATAATAGTCGCTGATTGAATTGATCAATTTAAATGACATTCTTTCTTCGGGGCACACAATATCAGCCTCTGATAGCTAAAAGACAGACAAAGCGATCAACTCAGTTTTCTAATAATTCTATAAATATTCGCAGTTAATGTAGCCCCGATGGGATTAAGCACGCAATTATGCTAAAGTTCATTGTGACCAGTACAGCTTGTCAATATTCTCACTTAGCTTTTCAAAACCATACCACACACATTAAACTATGTAAAGGATGATTATAACTAGCATTACACCGCAAAAGATTCAATAATAAATGTAACGATAATGACGAACATTAAACGTTTCGTAAAATATTAATTAAGGTGTCATTAGATTTAAAACAGTCTGAATCTATTTAAATAATTTGATTGTGTCAGAATAAAGTAATTTTCATTTTAGAAATGTTCATTTTTATCTCGTTTATAAACCTTGAGTAATTTGCTTTAAATTCTCAACAACATTCACGTTCTCCATATAAATTTATTCTCCTTTTGCCAGATATTCAAGTTGATAAAGCAAATAATCATAATTAATTTGTTGCATTCTTTTATCACGATAATCGAAAATACAGAATATAGATCTTAGAGGCCTGATGCCTCAAAATTGTACATACTGTAATAATAGTGAATTATTTTTTAATATCATACTAATTTATGATCTCAAGAATATATATTCTAATGTGATAATATTTACTCTTTTCATTGATGTGCTATTAGAGTGCAAAGTTATTTAATTTTATTTTTATCTCCGCTAGATAATACATCTTATAAATTCGTTTTTGACCTTGAAACAGTCATTGCAGTACTCATAATCTATTTGACACTTGTTGCACTTACTATAATCATAATAAGTACATGTATTATGAACCAAACACCTGTCATTATTGCGGAAACATTTATTACAATCATGCATATTTGATTCCATCCTTGAATTCACTTATAAAATGCGAATTGCTTGAAATAATAGTAAACAAACGTATGTTTCATACAGTAGGAATCGTTTCTGTGCTGAGAAACAAAATGCATTGAAAGAAAGCTTCTTTGTTTAAATGGTGGTTAATGTATTTGGGTCTACCCCACATCCCGATACCCATCTTCCCGACAATCCAACATCCTGACAACCCAACTTCCCGACAAATCCAACTTCCCGACAAACTAGTCTAATTTCTGGTTTTTATAGGGATCGACCACTAGCATTTATTAACATTTAACATCAACTATAGAATAACGGATCTTCATTTAAAATGTAAAATGATGTCGGGCAGCACCCCATGTATTTACATTTGAGTTGTTGCATAATTAAGATCGAAATGACCAACCGCAAAATACAAAAGGTATGATAATAAACAATTGTTTATCTAACCTCAAAAAACTTCGAATATATACTAGGTCATTTGTCAAATTGAAAAATCAAAGATTGTACTTCCTTTTATTCCTTCCCTAGAGCTGTAAATATACAATATGCTCCAAATAAAAACGACAGTGAAAAAAATTTTATATTTCGGCGATTACACAATATAAATGAATCAATCTATTGGTAAATACATTTGAAAGCTTACAATTAAAAATTGGCGAATATTTCTAAGGAAAAGTGAAAAGATCATTAAATCCATGAAAAGTTTTTACAAAATAATACTAATAATGGTTTGTTAAAATTTTGCCAAATTCCCAAATCGCAAACAAAAGCCCTTTGAACTCTCGGAAACAGAACAAAATTGGTTCTAATTCACGATATACAAAACTAGTCAAGTTCTTATCGTTATGATGATCTTTCATTACTTTAAGCTCTATATTTCCAAAAGAAAATGAAACATTGAAAAATAAAAACATACAATAACTTTTTTTGATAGCTTTGATTCTTACCATTTCGTATTTTTTGCGTAATGGGTTGAGGATCATCAAGTTGTGGCTTGTAAAATTTTATTTCTTTTTCTTCAACCTTCGTAATAGTTTTCTGATGTGTATTCTTCAAAGCCTCTCTTAATTTTTCATTTTCATCTTTTACTTTATCTAAAAGTTTGGACGTTTCCTTGATTTCAGATGCTTTACTTTGCACCTCCATTTGTAAGTTTTTAACTTTAACATGGAGTATTTTTTTATACTCATTATTTTTATTCCCGACATAAGCTCGTTCTTGACGTAGTTGGGAATTTTCACTCTCTAAAGTTTTGATTTTCGATTCGTAATTTTTTATAATTTCCTTGGATATCGAGAGTTCGTTCACCGTTTCGCGTAATTCTTTGACTTCATTTTGTAGTGAAGTAATAATGCTGGTTTCATTTGTTGAACTTGATCTTACTTGGCCAACGTTGACAGTAGATCGTTTTTTGTAGTTTTTAGGCATTGTGTTTAACAATTTTAAAGTTATGTGTATTTAAAAGAAACTGTTATGTGTATTTAAAAGAAACTGTTATGTGTCTTTATATACGAGATATTATTTATGATGTGAACAGTCGCGGTGGGTTCCTTTTTTATATGTTTTTGATCAAATAACCTATATAAATAATTGTATTATTAATGTTATGAATAACTATAATAATAATATTTATTATCATTCTATTAGTATGCGTATATTAATAAAATGTTCCCACCGATGACCCAATTACGGGGTAGATTATTATAAAAAAACGAAATTTATATTAGCAAAAATATGTCATCTGTGAATTTCCCTAAAATTTATATCCAGTGATTTGAGATATTAATTGCTCAAATTATTGTGCATCCAGCACTTCCCCAAACGCCACTTGCCGCAGAAACATGGTTTTTACTACAAACACATCCGATGCATATTGATAACGAGGGTCAGATTCCAGTAATAATCTCATGAAAATTTTCAATTTACCAGAAAGAGAATGATGTGCATTATATTTATCGCAATCACATATGTCACTCATGATCTTTGTCTCAGGAAAAATAGGCTACTAACGAAGGTTTTCCCGATTACCAAGCCATTTTTGTAATTTTACCTTTCCTTGCATCTATTACATGTATATTTCTTATCTTGCGATTTGATTGGTTTGCCCCTTAAAAAAATTGCGTGATTCTGGCAAAACTATCTACGCCAATTATGACGCTTTAATGATATGAGTGACATTCCCATAAAAATATGCACATGTATATTCTGCATATTCCTTTAATAATTCGCATTAATGACGGTAAATTCTATCCACGTGATCTAATTTTCTTGATACATGAAACTCTATTGGACTTACAATAATTGAGGTAGGAAAAGGAATCATTTCCCATAAGTTTATATTCTTGAAGCCGATAAAGGTCTATCGTCATATAGAAATTACTATATTTCCGTCTTTTTGTTCTTTGATCTCACGAGCACAATTTAAAGCATTAATAAGACACCCAGTTCTCAATCAAAGATTGTTTGCCAGAGCAACAAGTACACTCGTTTCAATTTGTTTAACTATAAATGAGGCCGTTTTCTTTAATAAAATGCGGAGAATCATGGACAAATTTTTGCTTTCTTTTGTTACAAAGATTATATTATTCTTATTTGTTCGTCGTCGATATGATTTGCTTATTTTAATTAATGAAAATTTCATAGTTCTATTGCGGCAAGAACATTGTTGCTCCATTTGCAATTACATTGATGATTTCTTTTTGATATTATCCAAATTAAGGGCTATATTGAAGACCTCCAGGCCATAAAAATACCCTCAGAGATGTGAGAGTCGAGAGATTTTAAAAATTGAGTAAGTTTAGGCATTAATCAATGGTAATGATCGCAGTCACCACACTTTCAACCGAATTACTATAAAGTGGAATCTTAAAATGAATAATTTGTGACTTTAGTAGCAAATTATCCATCCATATTCTTTCGAAGAAAGATTCCAAACTGTTAGTTCAACCCATTCGACATGATCTACCCTCATTTACAGCAGCCAATTCCTTCTGAGAATCAGTCACAGTTAAAACTTCATTCTTATAATCCCTGCTTTCTCATGTGTGATTTTTTAATACTATCCCTAAAACCCTTCTTGATCGAACTAATTACACTAAAAAGAGGCTTATCAAAAAATTCATGGCATCATGTGTACCACCAAATCCAACTTCAACGTCAACTTTTTTAAATCAAACCGACGCAGTCAACACTTCAAACTGAGTTACATCAATATCAGCAGCGACTTTTCGCGAAAACGAACTTTGATAATTCGCAGCAATCTACCGTTTATCCCTGTTATATGATTTAGAAGTGGATAGATTCGTCACAATTTCTTACTGAAAATATTCGTCTAATTTTTATCTACTTTCAAATATCAAGACTATTGATAAATTTTATCCAGTAATTGTGATGTCTACATTGTTTATAGAATTGTTAGAAACCATGATCCATGTGATCTACACTGATAACAATATGGTGTGATTATTATCATTGCTAACGGACGAAAGGAGTTCGTGATTCGAAAGACATAGGTGGCAACTTGAAAGGATAATAACAACAGTGGAATTAGCGAGTTTTGAAATTAGTGCGATGTCAGCTTTTTTAACTTTTGCACCGGATTTTCATTAAAAATTTATAGCGATGTGAGAGAGGTTAATATTATAGCGATCGACCTGTATACATGTATAATAGATGAGAAAATCTAAATTGCTTATCATCAATCATCCGTCACCTGGATAACCAACCAAAGAATGATCGTTTTTTATAATTGTATAATTTCATTTTTATTGCTAAAGTTGCCCGAGATGCCTATGTTAAAGATTGATAATAAGATAGAGCATACATTTTTTTTCTTGGGGAGGTAAAAAATCAATACGGGAGGTCGCAAAATATGGTATCAATTAACAAATTCGAAATCAATTATTCAAATGTCATGCGTGCTAAAAAGAAACAGCTCTAAAAATTTTTAAATTAGGTGCGTTTATTCAACACACATGTTTGATTAAAAGTTAACAGTCTCAAATTTTTAGAGCATACTGTAGATAGGAATCAGTCTTTTGAGTCGAGTTGAGTCTGATCTCTGATTTTGGGACAGTGTTCATATGATTATTAAGATTAAAAGATTTTATTATCGTCGATATGTAAAATCATTCATTTCACATGATATCACAAGTTCGACTTCGGGTCCGATTCATTATTAAAAACGCCATTTCTGGAGTTGAGCAAAAATCCTGACCATTTGATAATTTTGCTATTTTCATGCATTTGGTATGCTATACTTTCGGAATTTCGTGCATTTGGGATGGATTCGTCGGGATTTGTACCAGACCTAATTGTAGTCAATTTAATACATATACTACTATTTTAGGAGGGTTAAAAGTTTGGCTCTGTCCCTCTGTCCGACTCGACTTCGGAAGTCGAGTTTTTAATTCAGACTCCGTATTTCATGTTCATGTGGTAATATCACGTGTATTTGACTAATTACATGTATTCTATACAGTAATTTGAAATTCATTATTATAGATAACGAATAACAAAGCAATGAAATTGATGAAAATAACGATATAAAATAATTAAGATATTCAAAATTCTATTTAGATAATCTATTTATTTATTCTATAATTCCGTCTCTAGCAAATTTTTCAAGCACAATAAGGCGGCGAGGATCTTGTCATTTGTTCAAGAAAGTTCGCATAATATTATGTGTTTTGCCACAGAGAAGTTATGCTGCAGAAAGTTATTGGGTAGTTACTTATGAATTGACTGTAAATAATAGCTTCATTATTAAAATAAGTAAAAACACCAATTGGTTAATCGAACTTTTTTTCCTTTGTTTTTCAAGAGATAATTACGTTATAAGATAGCATTTGACCCATCATATGATTTTTGGAAATTCTGTCTTTCTGGTCCCTTAAATTCTATGCACGATTCGAAATTGTTCAGGCCAATTCGACTCAAAAGACAGACTCCAGTGAGCTTTTAACATCTCTAATAATAGTGGATCGGTATTTGATTATGGGGTAAGAAAAGGTAGCTAACTAATTCATTTCATTTTCCCTACTTTTGTTTGTTTGTGCTAATTTCAAAAAAATTTCTTGTTTAAGTCTTATATGGTATGTTGAGCAATAAGCTTCAACAACTTTTGACTAACAGATGATCATTTTTACTGAGGGTTTCAAATTTAGTTGTTGGATCAAGTAGGATGATTGTGAATTACGTCTAATAGTTCATTAATTTGTTTTTAATCCCTTGGACCATTTCACAAAGCAAATCTAATGATCCAATTTTGGTTTGCAGAATGTGAAGATATTACAAAAACAACCTTTAAGAAATCTTGAATATCGTTTTCGAGATATGATTTCTTCGCGTATAATGAACTAATTTGGATAAATTTAATACATTAGACTCTCCTTAACTAGACGAAGCTGATGATAACAAATCATCCAATTTAGTTGCTGGTTGCAAAGCTACTTATATATTTTTTTATTCAAGGTCTTGATCACTTGTTTCTGGTACGAGGCAGTCTAGCGATAGTACATGTATTATTCAGCATCATAATTCCCAATACTAAGATCCAGAATCAAGTGATACATGAGTAATGCAGCAAACGCAGAACTTCGCACCAGTAAAGCACGTTTGGAATCTGCATAAAATTCTATTGATTTTAGTAAATGACTTCCACTTTAATTGTGCCAAAAACTTGCCATCCGACAAAAGTTAAAAATTATATTGCTTAAAATACAAATCGGAAATCAATGGCATATGAAAATGTTAAACTAATTTGTATTATACCACCAGCCTAATACACCCTTATTTTTTTTTTTTGGTCTGACCGAAACCTGAGCTTTACAATAAACACGCCGATTTTTGTCATCATCAAGATCTATACCTATCGCAGGAAAATAACAAAAATCGACTACAGAATTTTGACTATCTTCGATATCCCAAGGTCCTTCCATAAACCCACCACAGATATCGGCTTCATTATCAATCCATCGGATTTCAGGTATCGGATCTTGCGCATACAATCGAAAATGCAAATGCATTAATTCAATTATAACCTCGACGACTTGATTAAGTAAATTTTTTTTTAATTCCTCAGAAAGTACTTTGCGATATTTGTCCAAATCCTTTACTAATTCGTTCGCGAACAAATCAATTGTCGAATGACCTGATCTGTTGTAACCACGTGATCCTAAAGACGCGAATACTTGTTGCCGAATTTTTATTGGCGCGATAATTGTGATTTCATCGTCGCCGGAACGATTAGCGGCTAAAGTATTCATAAAAAAAACTAGTTTGTTTAAGTGATAGCAAATATGTGTTTCGAGATTTCCGTCACGAATTGAATTTGGGTTGTTGATAGTGGAAGAAATAGCATTAAAGACTTTGTCAATGATTGTACGCTGTAAAGCATTACTCAATGCTATTTTATATGTTCTTTCCTCCTGATAATTTTGAATTTTAAACCTTTTTAAAAGAGCTTGACTAGTTGACTCGTTAATATGTATTTGGGTTTTTGGTTTCACTTTTGTCACGTCATTCAATAATCCTCGTATTCTGTCGATATCTTTAGTTATTTGCAATGGATTGCTTGCGTCGTCATTATTCCATTGAAGATCTCTTACATCACCAAGTGCTGATTGCAATCGTGAAGCTTCTTGTTTTGCAGATTTGGTTTCACGCGTTAGGGTGTCAATTTGTGCTTGCTTTAGCGAAGCTTCGTGTTGTAAATCGTTTAATGTTGACAAAATGCTTTTCTGTTCCTCTTCTGATTCTTGTAATTTCGTTTCGAGGTTTTTTACTTGCAAAGCTTCGTGTTGTAAATCGTTTAATGTTGACAAAATGCTTTTCTGTTCCTCTTCTGATTCTTGTAATTTCGTTTCGAGGTTTTTTACTTGCAAATCATACAATCGCACATCTTCTTGATAATTATCTATAATTTTTTGTTTTTCAGACTCGAGTTCATCCAGTATCAATTGCAATTGCGAAGCTTCGTTTTTCGCAGATTGGATTTCATGCGTTAAGCAATCAATTTTTGTTTGCTTTAAAGAATCTTCCTGTTGAAAATCATTTAATCTTGACAAGGTTTCTCTGTGTTCCTCTTCTAATTCTTGAATTTTTTCATGTAATTCTTGTATCTCAATTTCATGAATATTAAGTGTCGATTGCAATCGTGACGCTTTTTGTTTCGCGGATTTGTATTCACACGTCAAGGTATCAATTTCTGTTTTGTTTAACAAAACTTCATGTCGTAATTCTATTAATGTTGGTAAAGTGTTTCTCTTTTCCTCTTCTAATTTAAGAATTCTTCCGCATGATTCATCTAAATCAGCTTCATACTTGGATAGGAGAGTTTTTACGTCATCAAGTGCCGATTGCAATCGTGACGCTTCTTGTTTCGCAACTTTTGTTTCATGCGTCAGGGTATCAATTTTTGTTTTGTTTAACGCATCTTCGTGTCGTAATTCTTTCAATATTGTTAGTGTGTTTTTCCGTTCCTCTTCTAATTTATTAATTCTCCCACGTGATTCTTGTAACTCAATTTCATACTTGGATCGAAGATCGTTTACACTACCAAGCAATCGCGACGCTTCTTGTTTCGCAGCTTCTGTTTCATGCGTCAAGGTATCAATTAACTTTTTATTTAACGAATCTTCGCTTTGCAATTCTTTTAGTGTGGATAAAGTGGTTTTCCGTTCCTCTTCCAAGTTTTGAATTCTCTCACGTGATTCTTGTAACTCAATTTCATACTTGGATCGAAGATCGTTTACACTACCAAGCAATCGCGACGCTTCTTGTTTCGCAGCTTCTGTTTCATGCGTCAAGGTATCAATTAACTTTTTATTTAACGAATCTTCGCTTTGCAATTCTTTTAGTGTGGATAAAGTGGTTTTCCGTTCCTCTTCCAAGTTTTGAATTCTCTCACGTGATTGTTGTAATTCTGTTTTATACTGGGATTGGTGATTTTGCAAAGTTGCTCTATAGTCATCAGTAAGTTTTTGTTTTTCTGATTCGAATTTCGCGTTTAATTCTGTGGAAATTTTTTGCTTTTCAAACTCACTTTTATCTAAGAGATCAGCTTGGCTAATAATTTTGGCTTTAAGCTCTCTTAGCTCGTCATTGAGTTTCGCGTTTACTTTTTCCACGGTATTGAAACGTTGGATATTTACTTTTAACTCTTCATTAAGTTTTACGTTTTCTTTTTGGATATTATTAGAGCGTTGTATATTATTTGCCTCGAGTACTTTTAACTCTTCGTTGAGTTTTGCGTTTTCTTTTTTCACGATATTTAAGTGTTGGATATTTGCCTTGAGTACTTTTAATTCATCATTGAGCTTTTCTTTTTCCTTCTGCGCGGTATTCAAGTTTTGGGTTATTATCGCGCGTCTAGATAATTCAGATTGGTTTTTGTTGAAAAAATCTGTCATTCCTTTTAATTTGTGATAAAGAATCGAACGTACGCTCGATCGTTCATCAATTGACATTTTTTTCAAAGTTGATATGATTTGTTGAAATTCATCAGGAGAAAAACGAAAAGAGAAACGAATTTTTTCCAATATATGTTTTGGAATATTAGATTCAGATGACTTATGCCATTCGCGATAATCTTTCATTAACTCAGTACAGTATCGATTAATTTTCTCAGTTTTGGCTTTACTGATGGCAGCCATCACGTCTTGCCATTCAACTTTTATCAAGTGTCGCTCTTTGCTATCGATTGGTTCCACAATGGACACTAAAAGAATTTTTAGGATATCACTGAAATTAGAATCGTCTGATATCGCTGTAAACCACACAAAAGTGTCATTTTTTTTTTGATTTTCGATGACTCTAGAATGCTGCGAAGTTGTTGTTTGAGTTTTATTGACTGTTTTAGAGCGGTTAATTTGGGTTTTTTGCGAAGATGCGCTTTCATTCGAGTTTTCTTCGTGCATTTTTAGAAGAAAAAAAAGAATCAAAAAAAAATCGGTAATAAAGTTCAGGGAGTTAATGATCATTAAAAATATTAACAATCCACTTATTATCTGTTATTTTTCTGTCTTCTGATACAACAATCGAAACATGATATATAGCTGACGTTGGGAATTGAAAATAAAGACAATTTTGTTTTACATTATTTAAGATCATACTACATTATTTAATTATTTACTTAGGAGGTAAATGAATAACGAATAAATCTTTCTTGATCATAACTACGTCTTGAATTCCAAATTTTCTTCCTAATAGGGTTTTAAATATACAATTTATTTTAATCATATGTGTCATGCATGCTTCATAACGTTAGGATTTGGTTTTCTGAGTCGGTAATAGCTATTAAATCTTATTGTTTGTTATGCGCGAAGGTTTTCCTAAAATAATTTGATTAACTGCAATAATTATCCGCCGGATCTCACGCTGGTGGTGTGGGAATTGAAAGACGAAGATTCTTATCGATAACGATAGAAAACAAATTGATTATCATTATGAGCTGATTTAACTCAACAATTTAGATTGGGTTCAATTTTCCCTCTCATATGATTTTAAATGTCGTAACAATTATCCGCTTTTTGCTCTTTTTGTGTCGCGTATCGTTATTTCATTTTAGGTTTTGGCAGTTTTAACCGAACAATTGAGATATACAAATTGACGTGGGAAAAAGTTGACATCCAAGACGATTCTTGCTTAATACTGTACCTAGTAGTAGGGAAAAAAAGGAGATCTTTGAAGGGCGAAAAATAAAACAATTACCATTTAATTAAACATTATAAGTCAAATAATTTGATCAGTCAGGCAGAAATATTGCGATTTCTTTAAACTATTGAATTCTCCTTATACCGTCCAGTAATGAGTGTTGAAGATTTACGTGTTGTTGTTTCTGTTGATTTTGGCACGACATATAGTGGTATTTATGCTTGCTCATCGATTTTTTTCAAAGCAATAAAGTTATTCTTTGGATAATGATAATTAACACACTTGCACAGGGTTCGCTTATTCGCATATACAAAACCCGAATGCCAAAGTCCACGTTTCGTTCCCAGGACATATTGCCCCCAAAACTAACACTGTTTTGCAATATAATGAAAATTGGGAAGTAGAATGTTGGGGTCATGCAGCACTTGCTAGAGAGCCATCAAAGAGAAAAAAGTCTAAAGCTATCGATTCTCATCCCGTTGAGTTATTTAAGCTACATTTGGCCGATATCGACTATACCAAAAAGCCGAAATTGCCTGCTGAAATCAGTTATAAAGATGCAATTACCGATTTTCTTAAAGAAATGGAAAAGGCGAATAAAATCATTCATTATTGTTAATTCATTGTCCTTAAATCGATATTTTTATATAAACTTTATTCTATAGTTAATCAATAGCACTTTGCTTTCACGGTGGTCTAATTTGACTCATTCGCAAACTCGATTTGTGTTTTCTATTCCTGCAGAATGGGTAAGCTCACTTTTTTTACTTCTATTTTAACTCTTTACATCGGCTAATTTACATCAAAATAAAGGGACCGGAAACTCGTGGAATTATGAGAGAATGCATTTACAATGCTGGTTTCTTGCAGACTAAAGATTCGTATAATTTAGAATTTATTTCCGAACGTATGTTTTAAAATATCTGATCTTTTTTCGTAGATGTTCATTTAACTGTACATGTATCTAAAACTTTAGCGGAAGCGGCAGCAATATTTTGCATGCGAATTTTGAAAGAGCATGAACTAAATGTTGGAGGCAAGTTCAAAAAATTACATAATTTTAATCACGTGAATTCAACTAAAAAATGAACCAAATTTTTATTAGACTCGTTTATGGTCTGTGATTGTGGTGGCGGCACAGTGGATTTAACAACTCGTACCCTTTTGCCTGATAATCAACTCGGAGAAATTACTGAGAGGTCAGGCGATTTATGCGGGAGCACCTTTGTTGATAATGAATTCTTTCTGTTTCTTAGTCGTCGTTTAGGTTTTAGTGCAATGCAAAATTTTAAAGAAAAGCACTATGGTCAATATCAATACTTGATTCTAAGCTTCTTTTGTCCTCGAGTCAAGTTCGTTTTCGAAGGTGACGCGACAAAATTCCAGCCTATAGAACTTGACATCGAAAGGATATGCCCAGCTTTAATAGAATATGTAGAAGAAGACATTAAAGAACAAATGGCGGATGAAGAATGGCTCTTAGAGTTCCAATATAAGGATGTTAAGTCGATGTTTGATCCTGTTGTGGAACAAATTATTCGATTGATCCGAAATCAATTAACTGCATCTCAGCAAAAATGCTCTGCAATATTTGTTGTCGGCGGATTTGCTGAAAGTCCATATCTTATTTCTCGTATTAAAAAATCATTTGGTCGTGAAATACGAACCATTACTTTACCTCAACAACCAATCACTGCTGTTTTGCTCGGAGCTGTTCAATATGTGAGTATAAATATAAATAGCTTATGTTTTAAATAATTCCTAAAGTAACTTTTCTTTTTGTTATGATAGGGTTTAAACAAAAAAGTCATCAAAACACGTAGAGTTCCATTGACTTATGGCATCGAAGTTTGTCCCCTTTGGAAGGATGGGATTGACCCAAAAAATCGAAAAACTGCCACTGGCCGTATTCTTAAGTTTGCTGAGATAGTTCAACGTGGTACCGAATCGCCACCGGATCGAAAGTTTTCGGAAGATTTCATTCCAATCTACGAAAATCAAAAGCTAATTACATTTAAAATTTTTGCCACAAAGGAACGCCAAGCTGAATATTGCGATGAGCTTGGAATGAAACAAATTGCCACATTGACTATAAGGTAAATAAAAATATTTTTCAATTTTTTTTTGACATGTATATTGATAATTATTAAAATCAGGTTAGGAAATGAGGAACTTGGATTAAGACGACCTGTTGAGTTTGGTTTAACGTTTGCTGAAGAAGAAATACGAGCTACCGCTTGGAACAAAATTACAGGAGAAACTATTGAAACGTGTTTTGAGTATGCTGAATCTATTATTTAGCGAATCTTGTTTTGGATTTTGTATTTTGAGACTTCGACTCTTGGATTTTTGATAGAAAAACGTGTTAATGCGTCTTGAGAAAAAATATCTGACCATAATTATCATTTTTCGAACATTAACATTAATGCTAGTATTTAAGGTTCATGTAGATTTTAATACGCCAAGAAATATTGTTTATATCTAGCGTAATAAAGTGATTCCTGTATTATGACGGTCCTTAAATTACTTTGCCATTCGATTGTCAAAAACCGAGATAAAGATTAAAATCTGGTCGAAAAGTTTGCTTTACCTGGTAATAACGAGGCAAATAATGATACAGTTGCATTTTATACTATTACAGAAAAACTTCTCTAAATGCACACCCCAAATGTATCTTCTAGTTTGCTGCCGAGTTTAATTATATTATTAAAAATATAGCTAGATGCACCCGCCAAGACCGGTCATGTGAATGCATTTATAGGAAGTAAAAATTAGAGAACTTAAAAGTTTGCGACTGAGTCATACCATGCATTTATAGAGTGTGTATTTAGAAAGTTTCTCTGTATTAACCTTTATATGACAGATAATAAATAATCCTTTTCATTAGCTAAAGCATCCTATTCCATGCTTGCGTGACATAGAGACATT